TGGATCGGTATGTTGCTCTGGTGACTGATTCTTGGATCAGTCGCATGTCTGGCATTGGTGTGATGTCGAGGATCGTGTTTGAGTTACGGTTCCTCACGTCTATTACCATGTGCAAAGATCCATCTGCTTTGCAGATGCACAGTAGCGGGCATGCTCGCTCGCTGTTCGCAGGATACCACCATCCTGCTTTTACATAGCGATCTATTTTGGTTGCTAGTGCTTCCTGCAGTGCTGTGGGACATCTCGGGGTGTTTTCCTGAAATTTCTTGTTCGGATCCTTCAACGGGATTCGATGGTTCACCTCCCTCAAGGGAGGCATTTCTAATGGCGCTGGCGCCATTATGGTTTCAAATTTTTCTCTCCACCACTCCCTGAGTATTTCGAACTCGGGGTTGTTCATGGAGAGACCTTCCAGGTGTGGTACATCTGGAAGTTCTAGTCCTTCCGGACTAGGATTGGGCCAACCTTCAGGGTATTTTCTTGTGATTACCCTGAGGTGTGTTTCAATCCTGCCTCCCTGTCAGGGGGGCTTCTTTTTTGGTTGTTCTCGGGCTCTTGCTCGAGTTTTCCATCCGTGTGATCTCATCACACAGTCTTCGCTTATTCCAAGGGTGTCTATGTTGCCCTTGTTCACCGTTCTCACTTTGTGGGACCGGAAGTCTAAGCTTACCTGGTTTTGTTTAACCAGGGGGCGCCGAAGATGGCGTTGTATCTGTCGATGTTAATTACATCGAAGTAGTGTTTTTCTACGTGGCCGTTGATCTCAATGTCCACGTTGGTTCTGAACAGGATCTGTGATCTTGTTCCTTTCGTCCCCATTTGAAGGACGACTGGGTTCTCCAATTGGAGAATTGGGATGTGGACTGTGTGGACAAAGTCTGGCGATAACGCGTCCGTTTCGGCTCCACTATCGAATAGCGCATAGGCTTTTGTGCCTGCTATTTTTATGTGAGCCGTTAGCATTCTCTTCGTTGAGAGCGGTCTGTTTGTGGGGTATTTTCCCACGTCTTTTGAGATGCGGAATTTCGCATCAAACAAGGGGGACTGGGTTTCGATGGACTTTTGGTCCTTCTTCCCTTTGTCCTTGTTTTCCTTGGGTACTTTGGTGTATTTCCCCAAGGCGTCTTTTCTTGGTGCTTCCACCAAGGCTTCGGCAACTTTTTCGTCTGCCGTGTTTTCTAACTGGTGTGCTACAGCCAGTTTGATTTTATAATTTATGTCATCGTGGTTGATGACTGACATTGGGCCCATTCTTATGGTCCCGACGTTGACTTCCTCACCCTCTGAATCGGGTGAGTATTGAGGTCCTTCGTACGGGTCCTCTACTTCGAAGCTTGATGCTTCGGAGTTACCAGAGTTGTTCTCTGGTTTCTCATCTGATGAGCCTTTTGACTCTTCATCCGTTGAGTTCGCAATCTCCATGGCAGCTATGCGCCTTGGTTTTTCATCGCTCGTTATATTGTGTCTTGGGCAATCTTTCGTTTGCCCTATTTTGCTGCATTTGCCGCAAATTGGAACTGACTTTTGGTCAGTTTTCCTCGAGTTTTTCGAGGATGTATCCTCTTTCCATCTGGGTTTCAGCTCTTCCGCCTTCTTTCCTGATGGGAGGGCTCTGCCGCGGCTCGTGGTTGCCGTGGTAGTTGTTCTGGTATAGTAACCTGATTTGTAGGCTGAAGACATCTTCAGTCCGTCAATTATCTCGTCTACATGAGATATTGCTTTTAACATCTCCTCGTTTGAGGAGAAGTCTGCTCTGATTCTATCATGAGCAATCATTTCCCTCTTCCATTTGAGGGGAATGTAGTTTAGGAACCTGGCATTGAAGGACACCTGGTCTGGCAGCGTCACCATCTGGGACACTGCTTTTGACAGTTCTAAGTAGAACTGTTTTAGGCCTTTTTCCGCTTTGTATTTGACGTTGCGGTATTTCTTTGTCGCGTTCAACGCGGCGGAGGCTTTGATGAAGGTTCTCATCAATATGTTGAGAACTTCGAGGAACATGCCCTCGTCTCCTCTGAGGAGAGTTTCGTCTCGGAGTCTAATTCCGAGGTCAAACGCGGGCCCCCCTAATCCACGAATCAAGCAGTCCAGGTGGACTTCGTCAAATTGGGGACCTTTGCATCCTCGTGAGGCGAGGAATCCCAGTAGTTCTGTGAACCACTGCCAGAACGATTCCATGTTGTTCTCCCCTGACCATTTCTTGTCAGGGAATGCCGGCCCATTCTTTAGGGCTTCTGGTTTCACTCCTTCTGGGTAGGGAGTGAGTATTCTCACTTCGGCCATTCTTATGGCCTTTTCATACCATTTCTCCAGGTACTCTTCTTGCTCCCCTGCCTTCGCGGGGTCGCTATCCAATGGAGATCTCTCCTTTGGGGGGTTTTTGCTGGGGGAAATCTTCCTCGCAGCGTTTCTTTGGTTTCAGGCGAATTCGCCTGAAGTTGTATTTGTATTCTCTCATTGTTTTGAGAGGGTGTGAATGAGTTTCCTCTCTGTTCGATAGGTCCGTCATAAGTGGACGTTTGGCCGAACCTTTGGTACATGCCAATTCTCCTCCTAATCTCTGAACGACGCCTTCTTTCGGCATCGTCTTCTCCTATCCTTGGGAGAAGGATCTCCTTAGCGTCTCTGTCGAGTCGCTGATGATATTCCAGTGTGCTTTCACTGGTGGTTCTTTTCGTGAATTTTTCACGAGTTCTATTTATGTCCTGGACCGTGGTCCAGGGGTGTTTATTTGTTTCCTCACTTTTTTGTGAGAAATTTATTTCCTTCAGCAAATCTGTTTGTTCGCTGATTTTTTCAGTCAACGCGTCGATTGCGTTGGCCATTCTTTCTAGAGTTATCTCTAGACGAGCCATGCTATTATGGTTCGTTTCCTCGATCTTTTTTTGGATCGAGTTTATCGCATTTATTATGCGCGATTCCTGGTTTTCCAGGAGGAAGTTTGGTTGGGCGAGCAGAGACTCTCCCCAGTTGACATTTCCGCTTCTGGGGGTTCCAGAATGGGTTCTTGGAGTGAACATGCCATGCTCGCTTTGTTTAGGTGAGGCCGTTGTGGAGGGTGCTTCCCTTTCATAGAGGGGTTTGTTCGCTGGTTTTTCCTTACTTTTACGTAAGGCTTCCTCAGCGAACTCCCTCATTTCAGTTCGCCTCCTCTTCATTATCTCGGAGACCTCCTCCGAGGTTGGCGACCTTGCCTTGTCTGGCATGGTGTGTGGGAGTGTAAACAGCGGAAGTTCTTTTGGAGCTTCCGCGCTCTGGGAGATCCTGCTCTCAGGGTGTATTTTCGCGCCTTCTCAGGCTGAAAGCCTGAGAAGAAGTTGATCTTCACTTTCCGTCCTCCATTCAGACGGAACCTGGAACAAGTCCAGTAGTTTTTTGGATAGCCGACGCAGGGGCTCTTCCCTTTGTTTCCCTTTGTCTGCCTTTGGGGCTTGACTTGGGGACATGAGGGGGGCTCCAGGGGATAGTGGGGCCCTGGAGTTTCCTGCGACTCTATCCGATCAGCTTTTTGGGCTGATCGTTCGGCGCTTACGCGTTTTTCGCGCAAGATCACCTCGTGAGGAGGTGAGGGATCTTCCCCAGCTTGGGTTAGATCGGTATGTTGTGGAGTTCTGGGGATATTTTGCCCTGCACTTACTCCATGTAAGTTTCTAAAACCTTCAGGGACCAGCCCTGAGGTGGTTGCTAATGCCGGATCATGTTGATCCTCATCGTCGTCTGACGACGGCTTTTGGTTTGAATCTCCCATGATGGGAGATTGTGGTTTTTTTATAAACCGCTCGTTTCTTTTTAGTGTCACTGCAGATGCGACCTTGCCCTTGCGGGCGTGTTTAGGCGCCATAGGCACTTCTGAGTCAGATGTTAAGATTGTAGAGTTGTGGGTTGTGTTGTAAAACACACCTCCTGCACTTAAAAAAGTGTGAGGTCTTGGGGTGGCTCAGCACACAAGGCTGTAAGTGATACAAGATAGTGTATTTTACGGTGGTGTGTAAGCAGTTACCCGGAGGTTCCCGCTTGCCCACGTGACTATATGTATCTAATTTACATGTGACTCGGGGTTTGGGGCTATTGCCCTGACATTGTTCCAGGTACGGCGTTGAGCTTGTTTGAACCTGCTATTTATCCACAGGTACCATATCTCGACCAGGCAACCAAGCAGTGGTGGGAATGCGGCGATACAATCCGGTGCCGAAAGGTGGCAGACAGCCTCGACGTGAGCGGGTGATCTCCTCTAGATGAACGACTCAGAGTATATGGGGGGTCCTGCCAAAGCGAGCAGCCATGCTGGTTTCCATGGGTGCATTTGACAACGCTCCTTTTGGGTGGTGAGTGCGACGGGAGTGTGCATGGGTTCAAGATTGAGTACTGTAACGGTGTGTATGTCCTTCCCAGTCGATGTCCTATCCTGCAAGAATTGTGTAATGGCATGCAAACGAGTCTCTCTATATGCTTCATCAGGTCCGTTTGACGGGTTAACGGATATTAAAAGAGTATCGGGCGACTTGATGGGAAGGGACAATCCGCTATCGAAACTAACACGCACAAGTTCATGAGGGTATGAGGCCGCCCAGCCCAAGTGATGTAGCAATGACCAGGTTAGGCGCTAAGATACGCATACGGTACTGGGGTGGGCTTAGCCTCCATTGGGAGGTGACGATCGATGGTGTGGGACTCGATGAGTCTGGTCGTAATTGGGACCACGACACAAGAAGGTTTGATGCAAAGAAAGCGGGAATTGTGTGACTGCTGATGTCAGTCACGGGTACAGATAGCTCCCCCCCGCAACCAGAGGCATGGAGACCACCAGGCAGTTGAGAAATGCAGCTGGCAACATCTTGGCTGCGCACCGAGGTTCAACTCTCAGTCCAGCCCCTGATGCTACCCAGCGAATTTCGATCAGCCATGGCTGCCAAACATTAGTAAATAAGTTCGCTGGGCCGCATGTGTCCCTCCCTATCTGCAGCAACCCAATATGGGAGCTGAGGTGGAGACCGGGAGTCTCAGCGGTGGCTTGGAAGGGAAGAGGGAGAGGCTAGTTCGTTTAATACGTTTGATCCCAAGTTGGATCTCTCATCCTTTGTATTCAACGGGTGCAATGATAAGGTGTCGCTGAAGGCTTGTCTGATGTAAGTCTCCTCTGGGGCGGTCCTATGGTGGAGGAAATGACTTTCTGGGAGCCTGGTTATTGGACCTTGATGGCTCGACTTCTCTCCACCTGCACTGGGCCGACGTGACTGAACTGAGGGTGAGTGTGCAAGGACACGGGAGGATTGTGTGGGTTTGGGAGTCAGTCGAGATGGACCAACGGTACCGTGTGATGCTGGGAAGACAGGGTGGACCAGGTTGGGAAGCGAGTTTTCTCGTCTGATCAGATAATGGAACCATCCCGGAGGGTGCAGTAGGATGATCGGATTCAACTGGTCTGACGACGCGTCTGTGGACTCAGGAGCGGTTGAGGACGCTGAGATAGATAGGCGGTTGGCCTGTAAGGGGTGCCACTGCGAGCCTCCGGGCAGAGTCAAGGCGACGGTTCCTCTACCGAGGTTCAGGCTCGCGTGGCAATGCAGAGTAGTATTTAGTCTGCCAGCAGGGAAAAGGACAACTTGTGACAGGATTTTATTGTTGTCAATCTTGTGATGCCATATAGATACTCTTGGCCTTGAGTTCGCACAGCTCCGTGTGGTGCGTAATTCACCAGGCTTAGGACCACCTGAAACCACTAACGGGGTATAGAAGATCTTCCCAGGTTTGTCCTTGGTCGGGCCCAGTGGGTAACTAACCGCGGTTGCAGTCTGGATGAGGACCTGTACTGCCGTGAGGGTCACCTTCGGCTGGGCATGAGAGATCTTCAAACAGCAGAGCTTGGCAGGTGGATGTGCCATGTTTGATGACCGCCACGATATCTTGGAGGTGTGGCATGCCATATCTGGCAGGTACAACACCTCACAAGGGTGGTGCCACGGCGGCGCTCGTATCATACCTGTCGTTTCCAAGCATAATGTCATGGCATATATCTGTTTGGTGGGTCCGAGTCGCGTCCTGGACAGTTGTGCCTGTAGTAGCTCCGTCCGCAACAGCTCAGGCTCTGGCTGTGTCTGTGCTTGTGAATGGACCTGCTCAGAGAAACGTTGCACAGGAGCGATCACAGCGTCTGACAGATCCAACGAGGGCGGCGGTTCAAATGCGTGGTGGATCATATTACCCGCCGATTCTAGAGGACAGCAGACCGGTATCACCGGTGGATGCAGCTGATCGTGCAAGGACGACTTGATCGTGCATTGCGCTAAACTGACAAGTGGCATTACCAATGGCGAACAGGCCACAGACGGGCCATACGGATGCGCCAGCTCGAGAAGGCGGTGCATGATATCGGCTGGAGGATCTGAGTGGACCTGTGAGGGAGTTATCCCAAATGCCTGGTACATCGTTTTGGTAGATTGCACCGGGATCAGTAGATGGACTACCAGCAAACAACGTAGCCCATGCAGATATGCTGAATCAAGAAGTTGACAAGCAGGAACGCCTGGAGGATCCAACCAGTCATAGGAGGATGCCAACCCGATCGCCAGGTACACCGAATTGGTGGAACGAGTCGCGATCGTCGAACATGTCGCTACTGAGTGGTGTGATGACTGCAGGTGTGCTGACTCAAGAGAGGAGTGTGTAGCAAAAATCAGAGAGCCTGCGTGAGTGGACAATGGGGTCGGTTCGACCGCTTGGCCGGACGGACAGATGTGATTCATCATGATCGACCATCCAGCCCCGACTATAAGACACAGAGGGCACGAGCACTCGGGCTTGAGGGAACTAGACGAAAGAGCAACTGGGTGGTCCATCTGGGTAAGTGGAAATGTCGGCTCTGCCACATGACGCGTCGAGCTAACAGTATGCATCGCGCTTGATAGTTCACCTACCCCTGAGTGACCTGGCACACGCAGACGCGCCGGATTGATAAGATGGCACAAAGATTCGGCCGGAGGGTCCAGCTGGAGGGACACTTTGGTAAGCAGATGGTCCGCCAATGAGCTGACAGGCTCAAGCAGGCGTGCCAACTCGAATGGACGGCACAAATCCACAGTCAAAGAAACTGGTTGGACCAGCGGAGACAACGGCTCGTTGTGCCAGTCGTCGATGGGCGAGGTAATGGGGGGGTGGCAGCCCTTGACGTAAGAGATAGAGCATAGCCACATTAACATCATAATCTGGGTTCCGCCCAGATGGGAGTTAGTCGCACAGATTCCACAGCTAGGATCCTCGTCGAGTGCCAGGGCATTAATAAGGATGATTGTCCAGTGCCAATGGATTGTGTGTTCCTTTGACACTTTGGACTAACGGGGTGCATTATGATCGATGAGTGTGCTGCCGCCGAATGGTGCGGCACGTGCCAGCATGCCAACATAAGTGAGGAAGGCAAAGGGGCGGCTGGATGGTTCGATTGGTTAGACGAGGACGTCAGTTCATGATTCCAACTGTTGATGAGCAAGGTAATTGGAGGATGACCACTAGGGTCGTAGCCAAACCGCATCGATACTGTTGTTCTCCCAGAATTGCTCGATGCGGACCCGTGAAAAACCCCATTCCTATGCCCAATCTGAGTTCCGCCCAGCTGGAGGTTAGACATGCAGATTTTGGGGCCGGGACCTTTGTTGAGAGTCGGATCACCTGTGAGAATGGTGGGCTGCCCTTCAACCTGAGTGGGTTGATGTGCTGAACTGTATGGTCCGTTTAGGCACAGCTTGAGTGGTCGACACGCAGGAACGGCTGGAAAATCCAACTGGTCATGCGATGATATCAATTTGATCTTGAAGTGCGCCAGATTGTCAGGGACTCGTCCGGGGTCGAGGGGGTCCGGGTATAGCGTCCGGGACCGAGAGCCTGGCGGGGGGCGGATCGGGCGTGCGTACTGACAGGCCCGATGTGGGACAGTGGTCCCTGGCCACTTAGACTGAAGTGGAAAGTTGTTATTATTATTAAAGGAGAAATATTGTACTACTTACCTGAAGTGGAAAGTTGAGAAGAAGGCTACTTCTTCGGTTCCCACTTCAGGTTCGTTTATATACATGCGGCTTGGATCACATGACAGATGCCACGTCACCCTCGCACACAGCCGTAACCACCCGGGTGTCTCCGTGGGAGATCCCGAGGGTATCCGGTGCAGGCACGCATGCTGGGCACAGCGGGAAGTCGCCCGAGGTGCCCGGGCCGGGTACATGGTGGGCGCGCTGCAGATGGGTCAGTTGTACATTGATACAGAGAAAGTCGTCCATGTAGAATAAAGAGAGAATAAAGGAGAAGTAAGATAAGGAGGAACTGAGGAGGGGAGGATGAGGGGGAAGAAGGGAAAGGGGGAGGAGGTAAGGAAGGGTGGACCGGCGGGGTACCGGGTCAGGTTGGGCCGGGTGGAGCCGGGTCAGGCGGGTGTGCCCTGACACAGATTGATGAAGCATGTCGTGGTTGGTGTATATGCTGCCAGAAGGCGACACAACACACGCAGGCACGCTGACTCAAGCGTGGAACGCGAAAGGATGACCGGCTGACCTGACGACGACAATGGTTCAGACACTTGGCCCACCGAACTGATGGGACCCGTTTTAATCGGCAAACCACTCATGACTGATTGATGCGGTTCACGGGAGTGTCCTGACTCATATAGGTGATGTGGAGGATTCGCCTGGGGATCCGGCCAGATAGGCGAAGACAACTGTTCATGGGTCCAACCATCAAAGGGTGAGATGGTTAGGGAACAAATGTCCTTAGCCCCAGCTCGCCACATTAGTGTCATGACCTGAGTTCTGCCCAGCCGGGGGTCGGACACGCTGACTTTGTGGCTGAGAGTTTTGTCGTGAGCCTGAACACCATGGCTGACCGAGGATGCGGTCGCTTGACATGTCGAAACAATAGGGTTCGTTACACTCACCAATCCAGCACTAGCTGGATGATACAGGTCATACCAGTGCCCCAGCTTTTGGGGACGATGTGAATAAGCTGCTGGGAGGCCCGATAGAACAGGCGAGAGTATTGAGCTAGTAAGGGGCCTCACACTTGATGGGTCATCAACTAAGGAGTCTGGCTGGAAGAGTTGCATGATTGATGTGTAGACCTTAACCGAGCTGTATGGCTCGAGCGCGCGCACCGACTCAGGAGTTCGGTGCAAATTGGCAACCCAGGGGGCCGGTTGGGCCTGAGGTAACATCGAATTGACGGCACGATGTGCTGTGCTAGCGTGATGTGTCATGCCCGATGGAGAGGCCATATCTGAGCGGGGCGGTGACCCATCCGAATATAACAACTCTGGTGATTGCCACGAAAGACCAACAGAGAGCTGCTTGGTAGGTGAGATGACAACTGGGTGGTCTGGTTCATCTGGACACACTAGCCCGAGTAGGTACCATGAAGACGCGTCCCGGCAGTCCGGTTGTACAGTCAGGAATGAAGGGACCGTGACTGGACAACGCTGCTTAGTTGGTCGCGCCAGCCCAAGTGAGTGCTGCGTAGGGGCAACCATTCGATCTGACTGGAGGGCAGGGTGCACTAAGCCGTTGAAACATGTCGAACTAGGTAGACAGGTCGCAGCCGGGTGATCGAGCACACGTGAGTGCAATGGTTCAAAAGGGCGAAGTGAAAGAGTGGCCGATGGGTCCAACTGGCCATTCAGGAGCATGGGATTGCCTATGCGGCTCTTTGCGCTAATCGCAAGTGTGGTGCTTGACGGACAGACCACCACTGACAGAAGTAGCGCAGGCAAGTGCTCTGAGTTGTGAGGATGATGTAGAGATATAATCAGAGATTTCGTTTGGGTGGGTGACAACGTCTGATTGGCTGGGTAGCGCGTCAACTTGACGGTACACGTTGCAGCCAGTGACAAACTGGTGGAGACTGGTCTGCAACTTGTCAAACCGATGGAGCTTGTTGTACTCGACAGACCAGTCATGCTTGAATGAGATTGTTCAGACAGGTGCGCTGGGTCCGATGAGCACTGCGAAGGGGCAGCTATGTGACCTGATTGACATGGCAAGGCCGATGTTTCGACCTTGCGACATGTAGCACTGAGGGAGTGTGTTGCGATTGGTAGACAACCAGTAGCCGAACAAAGTTGCTCAGAAAGACGTGCTGGCTCAAGCGAGTGCGGCCAGGAAACAACCAGTTGATTTGACTGAGCAGCCAGGGACCTGAACGACGACTTGGCTGCACGATCCACATGACACATCAACCTGGCAGCGTGTGTCACGGTTGTGGAAGGTGAGCTGGATAGCTTATTCGAACGTGTCAACCTGCATGGATGCCACACGGGTGTAACTGGGCGTAACTGGACAGTTGGGCGCTTAAACATCGATTTGAGCACGCAATGCATCGAGCTGGGGATGTGGACTGCACTCGATGCCCAGGCTGCAACCTCACGATGCAGTTCACCTGAATGTGTCGGCTCGGACAGACACTGTGAAGGACCCAAAATGGAGCTCCGCTGGCCAGACGGTGTTATTAGCTGGGCCGCAGAAGGTGCCAAACTGACTGAGTGCGTCTCAGTCATTGAGCAAATGACGTCTGAGCTATTTGACTCAATTGGACATGCCAGCTCCAATGAACGCTGGGGCGTCGTGCTGGAAGGGTGCATCACGTTCAGTGAACCTGCTGGTTGACCCGATTGAACAGGCAAAAATGGTGAGTCCACCATGCAGTATGTCGATCTAGTGGTGTGAGTTGCACTCAGTGGACCAGCCTGTACTGGGCAATGTGGTGTGAACAGGTGTGCTGGCTTAGGTGAGCCCTTCAAAGGGGGAACCAGTTGAACCAGCTGGATAAGGTGCTTAGACGTCGGTTTGCCTAGGTGTACTGGCTCTAGTGAGTGCTGTGAATGAGCAGACGATGGGTCCATCTGGATATTCGGGAGCGTCAATTCCGCTATGTGTCGTGCCGTACCACCCGGGTTTGTTGCACCAGACGAACAGGACACATCTGACTGCAGCGATTCAAACGAGCGTGATAACTCAGGTAGGCATTGTGAGCTAGCAGTCGAGAGATTTGACTGGACAGGCAATGATGACGGTTCGAGTTTGCGACATGATGGGCTGATGGCACCCATTGTGCTCGTTGAATGGGTCGTAACCAAACGGGGCATCCCGGATGGGGATTCTGGCCCAAGTAATTGTCGTGGAGATGTGACTGGGAAATCCAACTGAGCAGGCAATGTCAACGATTCAGCCTGGTTGCAGATCGGGCTAGCGAAGTGCCCTGTGTGTAACAATTGTGCCAGGACTGGACGAAGTTGCACTGTTGGACGTCCCAGCTCAAGTGAGTGCTGCCCAGGTGCGGTCATTTGACGAGACCGGGGCATTGGGCTGTTGCAGCGTGTTTGTCATATCCGTGCATACCCGACCCCGACCCGACTTCCGGACCTCCACCCTCTTCACCTCCGGAGTCATAACCTACTGCTGCCGTTCCGATACTCACCTTCGGTCCTGGCAACACACCTCCTCCTTACCTCTCACCACCCTCCTACTACTCCGCTCCCCCTTCACAACACCTCCACCCTCCCGTTATCCTCCTACGCTTCCCCCGTCCGCTCCGATACTCACCTTCGGACCTGACTACTCTCCTTTCTGCCACTCCTTCTCCCCTTACCTGTCCCCTCTCTCCTCCCTCCGTTACTCCTCTGCCACCCTTCCGCCAAGTTATGACCTTCCACTGCTGTTCCGTACTTCGCACTCGGACACCGCTCGTACCTTACTCCGAGCCTCCGTCATAGTCCCCACCTCGGACTTTGACTCCACCTCAGCCTTAGTCCATTGCATTGGTGACCTCATACTACGTAAACACCATTGCCAATATTCCTCGGACTTCCAACCCCGCCTCCGTAACCTCCGTAAGCTCCGCAACCCCCGAGCTTTGCGGACCGCCTTCGGCACTCTCGCCGCCTGTAATGTATTTCTCGCATTTTCCCTTCATCCCTATTTGGACTACTGCTTCTTTCTATTCTAGCCAGTTAGTCATCATCCCCACTTCCCCTCATCCTCCTGCCCCTCTGGGCCTTGCCCTCTCTACCTCCTTTCGGACGTATCACAGGTCTTGCCCTATGACCTTCGGTACCGCTCTGCTCCCTCTACCCTTTGTTCCCGTTTGGACGTCTTCGTTCCGATTCAGTCACCCTTTGTTCTCTTTGTGCTTTTGCCCCTTCCATTATATATATCGGCGCTTGTACATACTCGTTTTGGTTTAGTCCGAAATCGACCTGAAATGCCCCCAAGAGACTTCCTGCTCACCTACTGTGAAATTAAGGACCAAATGGACAAACAGCAATGGCACAGCACTCCGCTTGAGTCGCTGAGGCCAAGGTCCCTCCACACTAAGTCTCCGATTCCACTCCGGAGTCGTCCGTTTCCACCCCATTCTAACAGTGTTGAGTGGGATGTACGGGCTGCAACTGTGCCATCTGGCAATGAGGACAGGTGCGGCAGGGGCAACTTCGACTTCTCTGCAGCGGACGAGATTGCAACAACCTCAGGTGTGCAAAGTCGTACTGGTGCCAATAAGGGGTCGGTTGTGATGAAACAGGAGCTCGCTGCTCGGGATTGTGTGAGGGCGAGGGCCTCCTTAGCATGTTCAAAGTGCAGAACAAAGTCAGCTAGTTTTCGCTGTAGATAGCTCCAAATTCGATGTAAGGTGCTTAGCTCAGTCCAGCCTGATGTGATCAATGTGGAGTAGACAATCTGTTCTGGATCTGCCTTGAACGTGGCAAGGATGAGGTCGGAACCGGAGATGGTTTGGGTGAAGTGGTCCATCGCACGAAGGATTAGGGTCAGCTGTTTACAGCGCTTGTCAATGAGACGGTAGGAGGTGGAGGAGCCTGTAATCAGTTTGCGGAATGACTGAACCTCTATGTCATCTGGGCCCAGCCATTGCCATTCACGTAGCATGTCCATAGGCATGCGCTCATAATAGAATCTCCGTGGTGATGAAAACTCATCTAGCACACGCTTTAGTGGGATGGTGGAATACTGATAGTCTGAGTTGACAGTGCCTAAGTTAGATGAGTAGTCCTCCTGTGTGTGAGCTCGAGGTCGCACGATTGAGTTTGATGATGGTGCGACCGGGGTTGGGGCACCAATGTTACAGGAATGGGTTCCGGGGAACCCAACCTGAGCCGTTCGGCTCACTAATGGAGGTGGCTGCGTAGCCATCAGAGGGAGAGCAGAATAGGGTGAGTGTACGGAAGCACAACATGTGTGTCAGCCAACGGTAACTTGGCGCTCCTGGGAGCGTACCGGTAGCGAGTATGATGTGGGCTCCTTGAGGGAGCCACCTGGCTGTCTGCTAATGGGGACTTGGCACTCCTGGGAGCGTGCCAGTAGCGGGTGTGCTGGGAGTGTTTGGCTAGCGGTGACTTGGCGCTCAATGGAGTGTACCAGTAGTGAGGGATACTGGGACTCCCAAAGGGAGTCACCCAGTTGGTGGCTATCGGTGACTTGGCGCTCATGGGAGCGTACTGGTAGTGGGAGTTGTTTGGGAAAGCGGGCTGGTGGACCAGCGCACGGTAGTGGGTGACCATGGGAAGTGGGACCCGTGGGTGCATGGCCAGGCATCCTGGAGCTGCCTGGACTGTATCCTTCTCCTGAGGAGGTGGGATAGGTTACAGTTCCTGATAGGGAACTTCTGGTTGGATGGGAGTAACCACTCAACCACCCGGTGGACTGGTGGGAGCGGGCAGCAGGAGGTTGGGCGTGGGAATGCCCTCCTCGTTGCGGTTTTGTCATGGAGAGGAGGAATAGGGAGGTGGACATGGTTCCAGGGTTACAGGTTGAGTTTACAGTGGTGACACAATGGTGAGGATGTTACAATCGTGGTACAAGGTTTGTGGGTTATGTATTTGATAATGAGAAAACATTTTCGGCATCTGCCTTACACATCATATGACTTCTAACTATCTAATATAAAAGTTATAATGGTCAAGGGAAGTCCCTTGAAACTCAACAAATCCCCCAGCCAGCACCAAAACCCGGTGGGAAAGCTTGGCATGGGGTTTGATGGAGAAGTAAAATGGGGGGAGGCCCTGGGTCCACCCACGGACCATAAGATTCTAGTCTATATCCATAACATCCGGTTCACCTCCACCTCCGATCTCCGGTACCTTCTCCGGTACCTCTTATCCTCATCCTATACAATTATTAATATTTCTATCTACCCAATATTACTATGGACCTCCTAGGACCTCTGCCCACTCTGCAAAGGTTTTCCCACTTCTAGTAGCTGTTGCTAATTCCACCCTTCACCTACCCACTCCACAACGCCTAATAAGGCGATTCTCTCATGAGCTCACTGACCCAGCAAGTGGGTAAGTCCCCCTTGGGTTTTCCCCTTTGTTCCCATTTGTCTTCTATTATGTATATAAGTCCTGTACTGAAGTTGATGGCACCTCAGTGCAAAATCGACGACTAGACTGCCCCCCAGAGTTCATGCCCTCCTGTTCTGAAGTTAAGGACCAGACTCCTAAGCGTTTACTGAACATAGGCACAGCGCTCCTCTCCAAGTCGCTGAGGCTGCAGTCCCTCTGCTCATTCTCTACCTCCGGCCTCCTTCTGGGGAAAGGTCCAGGGACACTGCCCTACTCACGTTGTAGGCGGGATAACCTACCATACCCTACACCGCCATTATTTTTGCGGTTTTACG